CCTAAACCCTGAACCCTAAACGCCTTGAACCATATAGCCTAAACCGTCAGAGTCTGTCCTTCTCCTGAACTCCTTGACCTTCCAAACACGGGTTCGAAGAAATTCTGGTCTCTTCGGTTTGGGGTTTAGGGGTTTGGGGTTTAGGGATTAGTGGTTTAGGGCTTAGTGGTTTAGGGCTGAGGGTTTAGGGAAATCTAACATTATGGTTCAACGTGGTTGCAAAAAGGTTGATTGGCGACGGAGAGCAAGAAATCGGACTGAGGATTCTTTTTCGAGATTTCGAGATGCCGACCTACGGCTAAACTTCCCGGTGACAGGTATCATCAGGATGTAACATACTGTACTACCCTGAACATCCCAAACCCTCAGCCTTATCCCCTTGCAGCCCTACGAGAACCTCACCGAACTCTCTAAACCCCATGAGGCCCCTATCACAGGTGAAAAGCCGTATAAGAGTGCAAACACGAACTTCGCACCAGAATTCAAAGTTTGCCTAAAGCCCTCGACCCTATCACGTGCCCGACCCTGCACCCATTTCAATGCGAAGCTCTGTCGAACCCGCAGCCCCTACCGCGGGTTCTGTACTTTAAGTTCCCACAGTTAGGAGGCATACTGTTTTGGTGTACACATACATGAGCATACATACATACATGCATACATACATACATACATACTTACATACATTACATAATATACAGACAGGCAGACAGACAGACAGGCAGACATACATACCTACGTACGTACATAGACACATATACTACACACATGCATACATAACTGTTCATTTAAGTATACACACACACCCCTACGGTAACGTAGATTCAGCTCCTACGCCCTAAACTCCGTAGCAAAGGCCCAGACACCTGGATGAGCACATCCAGGCTCGCCGTGGGCAGATTTTTGAGGAAGGGATGGAAGTGCTCAAATCCTGGTTTAAGGGTTCCCGCCAGGGTTCCCGCAAGGACTCCTTTAGGGGTACCTTTAACGTTTCCAATTTCAGGCTTCTTTTAAGGGTTCTACAGGGGTGAGATAGGCTGTGGCGATTTGCAGCTTTCGGGTTTGAGGGTTTAGCATTTAAGGTTTAGGATTTCAGTTTCATGTTGGCTCCGAAGCCAACGTCCAGGAGTGGATCGAGGGGTTTGGGGCTCATTCCCACTTAGCAAGCGTTCGACGAAAAGTTTCGAGTAGGGGGCAACTTGCAGATGCCAGAGTTCAGGGTATAGGGTGTAGAGTTTGGGGTTTAGGGTTTAGGGTTCAGTTTAGGGTTTAGGGTTTAGGGTTTAGGGTTTAGGGTTTAGGGTTTAGGGTTGAGGGTTTGGGTACAGTGGAAGGATGAGAGATTGAGGGCTTAACGACAACTACATCTCCCAAGCCCTAGACTAAACTCTAAACCCACTCAATGTCTACAGCAGGGTCGATGGATTCCCTCACCCCTGGACCCCTAGCTTTTATTGCTTTCGGCATTACATGCTCCCAAGCTGAGCTCTTCTTGAGAAACTTACCCTAACTTCGCACCAGAAAGACGTACAATAGTAACAACAAAAACCCCAAACCCAAAGTCTTGAACCCTTCCTTGTCAGTTGCAGCTGCTGAAGTCAATGAAAACGCTACAAAACTTTGAAATTGAAAGAACCCTTCAACACGCTACGAAGAGCACATACGTTCCTTCGCTAATTTAAATTGAAAGAGCCAGCGACCTACGTTCCTCTTTAGTACCCGCAGCCCACTGAAGAATCCTACTGGGCTTTTGAAAGCTGATATCAAAAAAAACTTAGGGCGTAGGTTTAGGGAAGCTCCTTCACAGGAGCCTGTGAAGCGACGAAGCCCTAAACCCCTAAACCACTCTAAAGCATCAACCCTAAACCCCTAAACCCCAAAACCTACAACCCCAAACTTCCCAAACCCGAAACCCTACAACCCTAAGCTTCCCAAACCCGAAAACCCCCAGCAACCCGAGGAGCTCTGCAATCTCGTCGAGTGGGATTGCTGGACGTAGTCGAAGAACGCGACGAAGCTAAAGAAAGGGCCCAGGATCCTAGGATTCTAGGAGAATTCTTGGGTTTAGGGTTTAGGGTTTAGGGTTTAGGGTTTAGGGTTTAGGGTTTAGGGTTTAGGGTTTAGGGTTTAGGGTTTGGAGTTTAGGGAGTTTTTTTGCATCCAGGGCGTATGGTTCTAGGATGTAGGGCTTAGTTAGGTTTCGAGTTTATGATGCAATTTTTCGGACTTCTTATTTCAGGATTTGAGGATTAAGATTTAGGGGTTTTAAGACTTAGTAGCTTAGGGCTCAAAGCGTAAGATTTAGGGTTGAAGGTTCAGGAAGTAGGGCTTAAGGTTTATGGTTTAAGGTTAAGGGTGTAGGGCTTGGGGTTCTACAAGGGTTCCTTCAAAGGCTCCTTCAAGAGGCCTTGCGAAGGGTGTCTATGCGACTTCTGTATGCAGATGTAAAAACTTCGGGTTCTAGGAGTTGAAGTTACAGGGTTTTGGATTCAGGGTTCAGATTTAGGGGCTTAGGGCTTAGGGCTTTGTGATTAAGGGCTTTACGAGTGTAGGCGTTTAGCTTTGGGATGAAAGCTTGGTGTCTAGGATTTAGGACTTAAGCGAGGATTTCGTGCTCAAGTGAAGGCATAGTGGGAAAGGCCTGGTTCAAAATACTGTAAGGGACTCCAAAACTCTAAACCTGACCCTACACCCTGAACCCTAAAACCGAAAAACCTGAACCCTAAACCCTAAATCCTAAACCCTGAAACCCTAAAATCTTAAAACCCTAAACCGTAAAACCCTAAACCCTAAAACCCTAAAACCCTAAACCCTACACCCTACAACCCTAAAGCCTGAAACCTAAACCCCTCAAAAGCCCCGAAACCTTGCTGAAACCCGAAGGTTCAGGCTTTCGGGGTTTCGCGCTTGGGCGGGAGAGCCCCGGATTGAAAGCAGGAAGGGGACTGAACGTCACAAAGCCTAAGTTCAACCTTCGAACCTTTTCGACACCCTGAGAACCCTAAACCCTAAGAACCCTAAATATCATCCTAGGAACCCTAAACCCTGCAAAAAAAAAACCTAAGCCCTATACCCTAAGAGCCCGAAACACTAAATAGAACCCTAAACACCACGCAACCTCGGCCCTTTCCTCGCCGTGAGCTTAAATGATTCGGAGCTTCGGCCGGGTTCCAATGCAGAGGGCTTAGGGTTTAGGGGTTTTGGGCTGAGGGCTGGGTGTTTAGCGTTTAGGGTTTAGGGCTGAGGGTTTAGGGTTTAGTTTTAGGGCTGAGGGCTGAGGGTTTAGGGTTCAGGGCTGATGACCGGGAAAAACGGTGTCTAAGTGTCTAGTAAACACATAATGTAAGAACAAACCCTGCTCCTAAAAACCCAAAAATACCAGGATCTATAATATTAAGAGCCCTAACTAATAAAGACCCCAGGTTTCTTACTGAGGTTCTTATATACAAAACTCCAGAAATTCCGAAATGCTCTCTAGTCTCTGTTTTGTACACGAACGTAAACATGGTGCGAGCATGAACCCAGTCAACGGATTCAATCCTCGTTTCTGAGGGCGTCTGTGGAACCTGGTATTCCCTGTTCGATGCGAAACCGAAGTCCGCACGACTCCGGATTAGGGCATGGTGGTTTTGTCTTTTGGGCTTTCGTCCATGCCATATGAGGAAACTCCTGAAGGTCCTCCCTCAACAGCTTGTACAAGGACAGAGCAAAAGCTTACAAAGAAGACTCAAAATGATCAAGGATCACCATTGCAGCATTGAGATACAGAAAGCGCGCCGTGGATTTGATGGTCTCGTCGTGCTTCACATTGAGCAGAGCACTGGTAGCAGTGTGACACAAGGCCCCACATTGAAGGACCTCACGGGTCTGGCACATACAAGTTAGAAGCTTGGGGGTTCGGGGTTTAGGGTTTGGGGTTTAGGATTTAGGGTGTAGGGGTTTGGGGTTTAGGGTTTAGGGGTTCGGGGTTTGGGGTTTAGGGTCTAGGGGTTTGCCGTAGAGTGGCGCATGAGCGGAAGTATTTAGCGACAGTATAGTTTCGAGTGCATCGTAGTTTGACGACTCGTTGCTGGAGCCCCGACTATGGAAGGCTTTTTTCTCTCTCCCACCCCACGCCGTTTTGAGGCGGCCAAACCACCCAAACCTATTCCTTTTAGGGTAAAGCTCTAAACTCATTCCATGGTTCTCTTCTTCATTTCAAGCTCGTTCATGCAGCAAGAGAGGGCAGGGGAAGCCCCTAAGCTCTTAGAATCTGCTTGGGCAAGCAAAAAGACCAAAATTCTTTAGGCCCTCAAAATCGCTTAGGCCCTTGAAATCTGCTCGCTAGAGGCTCCGGGGCGGCAGGGCAGGGCAGGGCAGGAGGGC